TAGATTATGTATATAAATATCTACATATATATAATACAGTATGTATATGTGTGTATAAAATCCAGTGTGTATATGCCTATACACACATATACATGCTGAAAATAACTGCATTTCAGTTCTTAAAAATTGTTCTTTTCTTTTTTTAGCTGCAGCCATTGTATACCATACTTTATCTGACAATTTTCCTGTTTGTGTTAGGTTATTTGTAGTATTTTACAGTTAAAAACAAAGCAGAGTACATTATGCATATGTATTTTCGTATTGCTTGAGTTCTATCTTCAAGAGAAATTTTAGAAGTGGGATTTATTGTTCAAAAAGTGCATGCAATATAAATGTGTTGATACCGTGTACCCCCAAAATCTGGACACACAATATAATTTGATAATCCTTGTGGGGATGATAGGTGGTGGAGCACAGTACTCTCAAAACATCTAGGATAAGTGGATAGGGTCATTCAGTACATTTACAAATTAAATAGTTTAACAGATATTAAGTCTGTGCTTACTTATACTAAAAATGTCCTGGGTACTGGGAATGAAGTTAGAATATTCTAGGAATCCTGAGGAGGCATCTGCATTAAGTATGAGCCACATGGTCTCCTGCTTCTCTTATAATCCCTGAGCAGAGTGACTTATTGGAGAAAGCACAATAATCCTCCCCAGAGTACGAGTTCCTGTTGACATGAAATTCTAGTTTACACGGAATTATTTCTGCATCGTGTTAGAGACAGAACTGTATTCTTACATTATACCCGTTGGTAGTAATTAGAAAAAGAAGGAAATAGAGTTTGGGAAGGGTAAGGAAAAAGCAGAAGGCAAACTAAGAGCATAAATGCAGCCTCGCGTTGCAACATGGTGTAGGAAGACAAAACCCCAAGCTCAGAATTCCCTCCTCATGGTGTAAGTGGGCAGAGTGATAGGGTGAACTGGGGAATCAGGAAGTCATAAACTTGAAGTTTGAAAGCTGAAAGGCATCCTGTTTGGGTGGTGGTTCAGACAGAAGGGGTGAAAAAGTACATACCAAGAGCACAGAAACCCTTTGAACACCTGATTGAAAGTCTGGAAAAGGCAAATCCTAAAGATAGGGAGATTTATTGTACGCTACAATTGGGAATTCAGGATTATTTTTTATTTATTTTTTGTCAAAATGTCCAAAGTTTTTCACCTATGGATTTTCCTATCATAAGGTTTTTATGATAATAATCATTTGGTTAAAGAGAGTATTTTTGGATCCCAAATCAGGAAACATTAATATGAAAAATATGAAAAGGGTTCTTACAAATAAATAAAATACCTAGCATAAGAATGATACACGATAAAGTAAGAAAAAATCTGCAAACCATGAGCTATTACTATCGCAAGACAGCTCTTATGATCATGCCTGTCCCACAAGATGCTGGTAAGGGTGTGCCTGTCGCCTAGCAGGCACTTCATCTAAGGAAACGAGCTTTCTGAGTCTACAGCCAGGCCTTGTTCAGAGGAGTATTAGTTAATGCCAGCTCTCGGAGAAGAGGACTTTTACTCCATCTTCAAATTCATACAAATTGAACTTTGTATAATCTATGTCAGTGCCTGCATAAACTGTTACTTTCAGAGTTACATGCCAGGGAACTCTTTTGAAGCCTTGGTCTAAATATTATACCGACACTACCAGTAACCTAAGTTGTAAACTATCATTTTGTTGTATTTCAAATACAAGAAAGTATATTGTGGAATATTACCTAAAAATGCTATAAAAACAAGAACAGAAAATACCAGAAAACATCTTCTCTTTTTGTGCCATTTATCTTTAAAATTTGATGTAGATTTCATTTCATTTTTATACAAAATTCTACTTAGAATATTGGTCATCAATTTGTGATTTTAAATATAGTGTGCAGACAAAAATATACTTACTTTCTTCTTTAAGAAGGTATTGGAAACTTCAGTTCTAAAGAGAATCATACATGAAAACAAAGATAATTCCTGTAGAGGTTTAATATGTATTTTATTTTAAACCTAACATCTAACAATTATGAATGCATATTATTTTGAAGTATGTTTTGACATTAATTTTTGTATTTAATACCAAAGTGCTATAATATCAATGCATTTTAATGACTTTCATTGAATTCAGTAAGAATTATAATCTTCCATTTTATTCAGGTGTTTAGGATTATATAAGGCATATTAGCTCTATGAAGGTGAAAAATTGACAACTAACACATTGGTGTCAAATAATTTTCTTATTGCCGTCATATAACTGTACTTTTTTCACTTTGGCAGGACTAACATGGCTGTTTTATGACTTTTAGACATTTGATAAAGTTTTCTGTGTTAGAGTATGAAGAAAATGTCTCAAATCTGTTTTTAATTCACTGATGAGTCTGTGAGGTTCTTCTACACTGAACATTGCACTTCATAGAATTTGTTGTTTTTCTCCATTATGCATTGACACAGATGTTAGCAGCATGACTCATTACATGCTGACGTGTTATGAAAAGACAAACTTCTCCAAGAAGTCCTACGAAGGCAAATAAATCTGAATCTCTCACCTCTGCTCTACTTTCCAAGTGAAGGTGAGCATGATTGCCTTCTTTGTTGGTGCTAAGATGACCAGTGCTGTCCACTGGTATGTGATTTTTTGCTTAAATCACCCAGAAGGAGGAAGGCTAACTCCTGGAAACCTGTTAGAATCTGAGCCCACAGAGGAAGTTCAACAATTTCAACATCGTATTGAAAACTTAACTTTTTATATATGTACCTGTTTTGTAAGTGATACTGTAATAAAAATAGTATGAATTCAACCTTAGAAAATTTAAAGTTTAGTTTTACCAAACTTAATGGAATTTTTTCCCTAAAAAATGATACATCATAATGTTCTGCTAATCTTTATCTAAAGTCAGCATTCTTCTTAGATGTAATGTTTAATTAAAAATCTACAATAATTTCTGCAATGAATGGCCAAGTATTTTTGCCTAAAAGATGAGTGAAATTTTAAATATTAATACTATTATTATATATTAATAATATTCTGTGTGCTTTCTGAAATGTTTTGTGTGCTTTCTCAAAATCTTCAAACTTCCTCATAAAAAGAGTGCCAAAAAAAGTCATTTATGTAAAAATTGTTTAATATTTTTTAACTTGTTACAGAAAGTTTGCATTTTAATTTAAATATTAATACATTAGCATCTAGCATTAAGACAATAGTGGGTTGAGTTTGGTTTTTGATGTTCAAGTTTCACTGGAGTAGAGTAATCACAACGTGGTCATCTCGGCCTTGCCATAACATCTCTCCTTTGAAGTCTACCAATCCGTGTTTCCTGGCACGCATAAGAATGCCCACCACTTTATCTGAAATACGAACATATCTGTCAAAGAGATCTCCAAAAGTAACCTGGATCTTGCCGTCTCGTCGGTGGCGAGCCATCGTGCGGATAATGAAGCACATGTCCATGATTTCCCTGTAGATGTGCTCCTCAGCTCTCTTGGCCCTTTCGGCAGTTTTGGTTCCTTCCTTGGGACGGCCATAGCCTTCATCTCCTTTGTGCAGGCGGGTGGACATGGCCAGCTCATAATCAAATTCTTCACTGAAAGGATTGAGCTTCTGGGATTGTATGTGTTCATCAGCCCACTGTTGCCATCTTCCTTTCAAGTTGTTCACTTGGCTGTATTTCTGTTGGGCTTTGCAGTTGAGTTTCTCTGTAAATCTGCTTGCCCTAAAGGAGAGAGAGAGGGGAAAGAATCAAAGTACTGATATTTTAACACCCAGGTGTTGTTTTCCCTTTGTATTTCCCATGCATATGCACCATGATGTCTTTATAATGTCTTTGATTATGAAAGATATATAAACACAATACAAAAAAATTAGAAATGAAAGAAAAAACGAATGCATAGTTCCACCATTAATTTTAGTTTGATGTATGTCTTTCTATATTATTTTCTCTATGAATAACAATAATGTTTTAAGCATTATAATGATAGTAAACTCTGTTTTAAGAGAAAAGCTTCCTTACACAAAGTTAATGCAAATGTGTGTATCTTAAAATTGAATGTTAGTGACATTTTAGAACAGGAATTATATAAGTATACTTGGGAATCCAGTTTTTATAGACCTCTGAAACCAGTTATTTCCCAAAGATAAGGATTCTACCACCACACATACATTATAATATTGTCATGTATAGATTTTCATATATGGATTTTTAATGAGAGCATCTCTAGACTAGTATCAATGGTGTACCACAAACTTTAAAATATCAAATTGTACAGATAGAAAACACTAGCTAGCAGTAGTAACATTTATTGAACACCATCTTCTAAACACTTTTCAGTAACATTCCCTATATCCATTCTATGAGCTAGGTACTACTATTCCCACTTCACAGTTGAGGAAACTGAGGCCAGAGAGATTGAGTAACTTCTTAAAGTCACTAAACTGTTAAGTGGTGGAAGTGGGATGTGAACCAAAGTTAAGCTGGCTCCAGAGCCTCTATATAATTACTATGAAACACTGTCCTAAATCAGCGGCACAGGCAGGAGTAAAACACAAAACTGTCTGAGGCTAAAGTCAAAGTCACTGCTCTTTCTACTATGCAAGGATGCCGCTTAGCATGCAGGTACAGTGATTAATAAAGGAATGAGTGGTATTTTAAATGTGTATCCTTGGAATTTGGAATGCATTTTTTAATCTAAAAACAACAACAACAAAAACCCAGCTTTGGAAAGTAAAGACCAGTAGTGTCATGAGGGTGCAGGCCTAATTTTAAAATGGCAAAAATTTGTCTTTAAAAGACTTCCCTGCCATTTCTGTTTCCAGTCTACGCTTTTCCCCTAGGTCTCTCTGCCTTCACGGGTAAAATACAAGCCCTGGGACTGGCTAAAAAAGATTTGTGCTCCCATCCTCATAAAGCTCCCCTTTATCTTCACCAACTGGCCTCATATCATGCCTTTTCTGCACTGGGATTGGAGATGTTCGAGTAGTGCTGAAATTACTGAGGTGAAGGGCATGCCTGACCTATCCGAACACTCACAATTTTCTCTTCAGAATCCAAGAACGGATCAGATTTGGGTATCTCTCACTATCCCAACTGACTTCCTGAAATCTGGTTATCCAAATGCAGGAGCCGAATGGATGTGGACAGGGAGGAATACATACTTGCGTTAACATTGTGTTCAAGAAAGAAATGACGTCCACTAGATGGCGAACTTTCACTAACGTCAATGCTGAGTTTCCAAAATCCTAACACTTGCTTCATGTTTCTCCAGTGCAGTAGAATTGGAGCAGGGAATACGCAGCTGTGTATAACACTACTATTCTGTGCAGACATGTGTATAAAAGTGTATTACAAAGTTAACTGGGGAAAAGCATCATACAAAAACTGTATTCACAATTATTGCAACTTTATAAAATGGTATATGTGTGAAAATGTGCTAACAGCTACTATACCACATTGAAGTAGAATGGATTTCTCTCAGCCCTCCTTGCCCTCAACATCACCTGCCTCTCCATCAAATGTCCCTTTTGAGCTGCACACAGGATGGGCTGCTCCATCTTGTTATCGAAGGGGACAAACACCTTTTTCTTTTGGAGCCATGGTGATCAATGAGAGGCATAGTCTTCAAAAACAAACCCAAGGCCATCTAGGTAGAACCCAAATCTCATGCCAGACTTGAGGCTGGGTCACCCTGCCAGAGAACAGACTTGAAATATCTCAGATGAAAGTGAATGGTTCAATTTATTAACGCATTTGTCTTTGTCTCCTGAGCACCAACTGTACTTCTGTCCTATGTATAAATCATAATACACCATGCTTTTGAAGAGCTTCTGGCACTTTGACATTCCTCTGTCCTTTAATAAAGTATTCATTTATGACACCTACTATGTGCCAGGAACTGGTTTAGGTACTTGTTGAATATTCAATAATAAAAAAAAACAGTGAATAACCACTAAATAAAAACAAAGTAATACAAATTTGAGTTTCTGATGTAATTGCAACTCTGTGAAATGTATATTCACCAGGCTGAAAAATTTAATAGCATATACACAATTGAAAATAATTATGTTGCTATCCAGGTGAAAGTTGATTTTTCTTCATTTTTTTCAAAATTCTCTTTCATATTTGTATTATATTGATTTTGTAACTTAAAGAAAGCAAAATATAGGTTAATAAATTAGCATCCTGAGGTAGTTTGTTTAAACTGTATATGGGTCTATGATTCTTTGATATAGTTTTTTTTCCCTTCTAATTTTTAATTAGGAACTTAGATTCCCTAAGTGTTGAAACTCAGTGTCATTTGGGATAAGAGTTGGGGTTAGTGTGGTAATAAATCTATGAAGATCTTCTAAAAGAAGCACCTTCTAAACCTTAATGTCCCTTTGTTATATTATCAAATAGTAATTCTCAATAATTTTGGAAGGAAGGAAAACAAAGGAAGTTGGCCCTACAATCAAGAATTAGAAAATAGGAGGAAATTTATCTTCATGAGTATTTAATTTTCCCTATCTTATAAATGTTCTGTATTGTTTTTATATTTCCAATTTTTAAAAAGTCTCAAAGTATCAGATTTAAATCAGTATTAGCAAGTCTCATACTCTGAATATCCTCTTGAATATTATTCAAGAAGATATATGAATCAGTACTGGATTGTTATCTTTTAATTTTTTAGGTAAAAAATGTGAATGATAGTTTAGATTGAGCTTTAGAAAGACAATCTAGTAAAAATTAAAAGAAAACAAAGGAATATTCAAAGACTAACATCTCACCCATATCTTAGGATGGCAATATTGAATCCATCACCTTCTCAGTTTCATTATTAGTAAACAAATTTTCTTATAGTCAATCAAAAATATATCCCCTGTCCTGCTATGTGCAAGGTAACCAATTCTACTAAACATTATGAACAGTCTCTCTTGGAAAGTCTAGCTTCATTTACTGAAATAAATCCTGAAAATTATTTCTTACCTGTCAGCTCTAAAAATGACATGCATTTGAGTGCTGCTTTCTTGTGTGAATGGGGCTCTTTAGCAGTATGATATGGGAACCAATTTTATGATTCTGTCATTTTGGAGTAATAATTATATGGGTAAATTATTAAATATATAATAAAAACCCCTAGGAATTAGAAGCTCTGAAAGGTATATTTCAAATATTAGCAAGCTCACTGACACTGAAAACATTCTCTGGTAGTTGCCCTTCATGAAGTGAATCACTAGCTTCAAAATGTCACGGGCACCTAGAGGTGAGCTTTTCTGGTCTGTCTTGGATCTGTATGAAGAAAGTGGAGATCGGCTTTCATTGCCACCCCTGTAGATCTTCCTGTGCAAGGACGATTTCTCCTCATTGCCCAGGCACTCTCCTCTGTCAGTAAAGAAAAGAGCTTCTGCTACCCTTTCCAATTTCTCAGAAAAGTTCTGGCAGAATTTGCTTCTCTGTGCATTGGTTGGCTTGCTCCTCTGCACAGGAAGTTTAGCTGATTTGATTAATGGGAGTATGACGTCTATAGGGTCACATGTATCAGAAGCAGGGTGACTACATTCAAAAGGCAGCGGTATGAATATCTCTGATCAACCATTATGTTCTCTGTTCTGTTATCAACTAGGCTTGAGGGCCAGACCTGTGATTTTCCTTGCAGATTGGTAACTGTCTTTAGAGTCCATGGAAAGGGTTCACACCTCTAGAATTGGGAGTAGGTAATACGAGGCTGTACTATTGCTTCCATTTCTTGTGAAGTCCTTTAATACAGTTGTACCAAAATGCTGAACTTTGGGAATTACTGGGGCTCCATTAATTAAGCTGACACTTTGATCTCCATTTTATTCCTTGAGTCTATTCTCTACTAAGAGAGACAGTCTAGCATAGTGGTTAAGAACACAAGCTCTGGCATGAGCCTTCCCAACTCATCGCTTACTAGTTCTGTGACTTGGATACATTTCTTAACATCTCTGCGTGTCAGTTTCCTTATTTGTAAAATGGCACTCCCATGCTCAACTGTATTTTTACTGTATAGACTTCAAGGAGAGGATGGGTGAGTGATTGGTACTTTAACCTTAAACCTTTATGGGAGAGAGGGATCTAATTTCCTTTTTCTAAAGGTGCTGGACCAAACAAGTCACACACAATCAAAAGACACAATATTTTTAAAATAAGGCATGAACTATAAACCATTAAAATAGGAACATCCTAGTTAGCAAAACCACTATTGGTAAAGAATTTATCTGTTTTTTACCACACTTGATTTGTTTGTTTCAACTATCCATGGAACTTCTTAATCACCAAGAAAGTCTCTTTCTTTAGACTTAGACATCCATGATGCATAATTGTCTCCCTATTGGCAGATGCAGGGAGAGAATGGTCCCTGTAATTAAAAATAAGTGAACAAAAAGCCCTTGCATATTGGCTTGCTCAGTAATGCCACTTTCATTTCCCAAGCAGTATTTGAGTGTCCCGCCAGGCAGAGTCCCACTGGGCTTCTGCCGAAGTTTCCTGAGTGCAGCCAGGATTACTACTGACATTAACAGCTGCCGTTGCTACATACAAAATTCTAGGACCCTGTGTACTCCAAGACTGAGGGAAAGGAACCAAAGAAGGAAAAAAGACATTAAACCACCACTACCCTCCAAATCTAGAGAGGCAAGCTCCTAGCACTTGTAAGAGTTGGGATCACCAGGCCTGGCCCACTCCATTACAACTTCCTAAGGAGCTCCCCTGAATCCATGCTTTCATAGTTTATATAAAAATAATTCCATGAAATATGAATCAGCATGTCTATTTTTTAGATGACACAGAGTCAGGATTGCCTAAGTGACCATGATTCAAATCTGATTGTCTCTTATTCAAAGCTTATGTACTCCATCACACTAAGAAGGTGCCAGTGTACCTGTCTGATTTCAGCAACCCAGAGAAGGGTCCTGTATCCCAGTCCCCACTTTTGAGTGAGACAATTTAGTCAGAGGGTGGGCTCCAGAGCCAGAATGCCAGGGTTCAAATCCCATGGGCTGTAATGTCTCATACACGTTCCCTATTATTTCTTCATCTCATGTTTCCATCCATCAAATAGGGATACTGATTATACCTACTCCATGAGAATACTGTGCGGATTCATTGAATAAATATACAAAAAGTGCTTAGACAAGTGCCAAAGAAGAGTCAGCTCTACTAAGCATTCAGAATTGATTCCAGCTGTCATCTCCCTACCTGTGGCCAATTTAAAATGTGCTGACAAGAAGATCTTCATTGAGCACCCTAGGTCTTTACTCCGATGGATTCCATTTTTCCAATTCTAGAACATATACCCCCAAATCTACAAGGCCATTATTTGGACTATGGTTTCTTATGTTCTGGTAAAAGTTACTTCTGATCATGAATTCCTCTTAATGTAAGTAGAGCACAAATCCAGACCTCTGAACACATCCTCAAGCCATGGCGTGAGAGTTAGTACCATACCTGGTTTCAAAACATAGCATTTGGAATAGGGCAGGTCTGAGCTTTGTCTATAACTTGCTGGGTCAACTTCCCTTCTAAACTTCATAGTTCTTATCCCTGAAATGAGTTAATACCTGCCTCATAGGATTGTGAGGACTGAAAAGACAAAGCATTTAAAATACCCATAGTACATGGTAAATGCATGACAGATTGTTATAATTACCCAAGTTTGCTGTTTCATTTTTCTTAAAAGCTTGCAATGTAGTTCTAATTCCTTCAAAACACCTTTAAAGTCACAAACTGTAAAACAGCCCTTTGTCAAACTAAACAGTTTGTTCTTTACTTTCTTGTTGTTTCATAAGACTTGAAAAACATACCTATACATCTAACGGTCCCCAAAGGCAGTCAGTTTTATAAGCATTGTGACATCAGAGGCTTTTCCCATATTTTGATATCCTGAGGTTGTGAAGTAAGATATCTCGACTTTCCGTTATGTGAAGTTACTGCCTTGTAGTAAGTGTTTCTTATCTAAAATGCATCAGTTTGAGTCTGTGTGTGTATGTGTGTGTGTATTTAACATCTGAATGTTTTAGGATTGTGATATTTTCATTATTTCTGTCTTTGTTGACAAATAGGACAAACTTTTTTGAAAGTTTGAAAAGGTGCTAAACGGTACAATCTATATGAATAATAATGGTTTTGTGTATTGAGCATATGTGTCAACCACCGTGCTGGGTGCTTGGCAGCCCTAATCTCATTTACTTTTCCCAATCCAGCAGAATTTATCTGAAAAGCTTACTGTTTCTGTCATTTTACAAATGGGGAAATCAGCCTAGAAAAAGAACTAGTTAGGGGCTGAGCTGGGATTTGAACTTGAGTCTATCTAACTTCAGACCCTACTCTCAATTTAGCAGCCTTCCACCCGTTTACAGAGTCATAGAGATTCATGTTTCATGGGCATTATTTAAGCAGATAATAATATAGATTTTTGGGACAGGGTAAAGGTTTCCCCAGTCAGTCTACCAGAAAGCCTTTTTCTCTCCAGAAAAATAAGCCAATTTATTGCTCATTGTAGAATTAACCCACAACAGACATCCATCTCTGATGGCTTCATCTTTGTCAAGGCTAAAGCTTAGGAGTTTAGTTCAAAACCAAAAGGAGAGACAGAATAGTGCAGGCCCTGACCTAAAGGTCCGTGTCTGAGGTTGGCACTGACCTTTCAGCCCAGGGACATGCCTTCCTGCTGTGCATGCTTCCTGCCCAATCTTTGAGATTCTCACTCTAACGGGTCAGACTCCCCCTGCTCTCTGGATCCCCAGACTTGGCCGGGGCTCAGTAGCGATCCTGGTACAGGAGGGGGAGGCCACATTCACTTACGGGGAGTGCAAGGGGCGTTTGATCCTGGCAGCAGCCACCTGCACGCCATCCTGCTCGGGCCTCTCCTCAGCCTCTCCTCCATAGCCGCTGTCCTCTGTGTCGATGCTGTCGCTCCGCCACGTGGGCTCCTCCTGTTCCATCACCTCCCAGCCCTTGGTCAGCTCAGATACCAGGTTGCCACATTTTCTTCTCCGTGCTGGGGAGCCATGGCTGTGGAGGATTCTGTCGATGTCATGCTCTGGCTGCCCAGAGTCAGGCGTGTCACCGTCCTCGTACCTGTGGCTGAGGTGGCTTATGTCCCCTCCCCGCTCATAAGCCTTGCTGACCACTGTTTTGGTCACCTCTTTCCTTTTGATATGAGAAACCTCAGCGGCTTCATCTGAGCTCTGTCCATCTCCATGTCCCTCCGGCTTTGGGGATGAAGCCTTTGCGGCACTCTGAGATGGCTGGCGGGGAGTGGGGCATGTGACTGGTTTAGGAGCTTGGGGTGACTCCTGGGTCCCTCCAGGCAGCCAGCCTGTAGGCTCCTGGGCCTGCCTGATGCTGTTCTCATTCGCCCACTGCTGCCAGCCGCGGGCCAGGTTGATGACCAGAGTGGCTGTGCGTACCTTCCGGAGGGCGCTCTTGGCTGGGCTCTCCTCCCTTCCCTTCTCTCCTGGAGCCATGCTACCCGTCTCTTGTCCGCTGGTGGCCGGGTGCTGGCTGAAGTGAGTGTGGTCCAGTGGAGCGCCTGGGGATTTAAATAGAAGCAGGGTGTCAGGGGGGAGGAAGAGCTTGGTGACGGTGGAAACTATGCAAAGCATTTCTTGCCAAGATGTGGTGCCTTTGCCCTGATGGTGTTCTTTTTTTAAATCCTGACAGCTCCAGTTTCATCACAGCAGAGGGACGTCTCTGTTGGTAAAGGACAGTGATATGCTCACTCCCCTTCTTCTCCAAGTGCCAGAATGGAAATTACTAGATTGGGTCATATGCTCAGCCTTATGTTCTTTTTGACCTTACTGTGGTCCTACCGTTTATAGGAGCATACGATACAATATGTGTACAGACTGCCAGGAACATTATAGGCTTGTTGCCATTTGAACCTCAACAGCCCTCAATACAGTTCATAATTAGTTCCATTTTATAGCTGAGTAAAATAAAATCTAACTCCTTACAGCTAATAATATCTGAGATTCAAACCCAGATCTCTCTGATTCGAAGCCTGTGCCTCCTTTCATTCTAGTTATCCAAGATCCTAGGTTGCCTTTTTCTTTTGCCTTCAACTTCATTAGACATAGACCTTAGAAGATCATCTCAGCCAACCTTTATTTTCCAGATGAGAAAACTGAAGCCCTGATAAGGGGAGACCAAGGTCCAGATACTTAGAGGCTCATTGTTTTCCAGCCCCAGGTTTGAATTATTGCACAGACAAGTCATATTAATATAAAAGATGATAGTCAAAATTTTGGCCCAATCATTAAAAAAATAAATGAAAAGACTTGCATACACATTGAATTTTAGAAATTATCATTAGAATAAATCTTTTCAAATATTTTGTTTAAAAGGCCATTTAAAGGCAAAATAAATGAATACTATCAGAAGCCCACGCCTGCCCCTTCTTTGTTTTTAATAACACAACCTTTCTTAGCAGACCTCAGGTTCATGTAGACAAAGACACTTTTTCAACTCTCAAAACAAAGACCGAAATATAATATTTTTAAAGGACTGGAAAGATAGGTCATGTGGACAGAAAAACAACCATCTATGCAGTGTGTTAAACCAAATAAAAATGCCCAAGGCTCAGCAACGAATAATTTCTTAAAGACAAATAAAATATTTTTTCATCCAACATTTCTGTTGACTTTAAAACTGTAACCTTTCCTCCAATCTTGACATGTAGTTAACCACACTGATTGAAAACCTCTGTCTGAGAGCATTAGGAAAAAAAGGTATGAAAGTTAATTCCTTCTAGTAGTGAGACCTTTATTTGGGAAAAAAAAACTGATGTCGGTTTTTCATTATCTGGGGTATTTACCTCCTAGGATTAAAAAAATTTGGGAAATGATTTAATACTCTATGTAGAAATCTCTCAGATGTGTTTTCAGAGTTCAGCAGCATCTGATAATGTTAATTGAGGGCCAATAATGCACAGACAAAACCCCTCTTGATTAATTAAGAGGGAATTGGATCACAAGGGAAGAAAACTATCACAAACAAAGATTTAAATCTGAGTCTGAAATTTCTAGCATTCCTTCCTGGAATGTAGCTCCACTGCAGACCTGATGGTTCTTAGCAGATTCTCTTCATCCCCCGTGGAAGAGCTTGGGAATGAATGGGGCCCATATGCTTAGCCCAGGAGCAGGCTAATTTACAACTTTCAAAGGGGTTTTTCTGCTTCCCTGCTCACACCTGCTCCAGGTTCAATCCTGATAGAGGAGAAGACGTGGAGACAGCAAAATGTTAATAGTCTTTCCCGACAGGCATTGCAGTCAGCAGCCTGGGGTTTGCGGCTGTCAGCAGATGGTCTTGGCAGACAAAACAGAAGAAGCTGCTAAAAGGATCTGGTCATTCTTTCTGAGATTTAGCCTCCATGGCAACTGAAGTGCTTCATTCATGCTTCTACAAAGGCGAGTGTAAAATCCTTTTCCTCGTCATGTACACTTTGGGCATTCCTTCTCTAAGGCAAGGTCTGTATGGTAGCTGCCATGCATCTTCGATTACTACAAAAATGTTATCTTTGCTTTCTCAATCTAAATCCAAATTTTTAGGAGTCCCTTATTTTTCTACTTTAATATGTGGTATAAAAGAAATGAAAATAAAATCTCAAAGATAAAGAAACAGTAAGGTATGAAGTGGTTTACAATGGGAGTTTCCTGTGAAACCATGAGATTTGAAATTGTATGTGAAGATGAAGATGTGATTAATGAGGTAATTATCACCTGAGGAATGTGTCGTAAGTGTGAAGGTGTTTTGAAAAGATTCGTTATTATTTGATCTTATGAACAATACTAGAAAGAGGAGGGTGATGGATTTATATACTGCTCTGCATGTTATACTTAGAAGTTATGCGCCAGGTGCGGTGGCTCACACCTGTAATCCTAGCACTCTGGGAGGCCGAGGTGGGCGGATCGTTTGAGCTCAGGAGTTCAAGACCAGCCTGAGCAAGAGCAAGACCCCCCCCCCTACTAAAAATAGAAAGAAAAATTAGCTGGACAACTAAAGATATATAGAAAAAATTAGCCGAGCAAGGTGGCTCATGCCTGTAGTCCCAGCTACTCGGGAGGCTGAGGCAGGAGGATCCCTGGAGCCCAGGAGTTTGAGGTTGCTGTGAGCTAGGCTAACGCCACAACACTCTAGCCCAGGCAACACAGTGAGACTCTGTCTCAAAAAAAAAAAGAAAAAAAAAAAGAAGTTATGTACCGCTAGCTCTGATAGCCAGCTATATAATCATTCTAAAGAGACTTTAGAAACCTACAATTGCTCAAAGCTCATATGAAACAATAATTTTTAAAAAAAATTTTATTGTGTATATTTGAAGTTTACAATATGATGTTATGGGATACATATAGATAGTAAAAGGTTACTATAATGAAGCAAATTAACATATCTATCATCTTGGTTACCATTTTTTGACAAGAGGAGCTACTAATAAAATCTACTTAACAAAAATCCCTAATACAATTTTATTAACTATAGTGCTGGTACTGTTCATTAGATCTCTAGACCCATTCATCCTACATATTTGCTACTTTGTATCCTGGGAACTACAGCTCCCCATTTCCTCCCCCGACCCTATCCCTGGGAACCACTGTTTTATTCTCTATCTGTATATTAGACCTCTTTTTTTTTTTTTAAGATTCCACATATAAGTGAGATCATGGAATATTGTTCTTTCTGTGTCTGGCTTATTTCACTTGACGTAATGTCCTCCAGGTCTATCCATGTTGTGGCAAATGGCAGGATCACATTCTTTTTTAAGGCTAAATAATATTCCAGTACATCTCCCACATTTTCTTTATCTATTTGTCCATGGACAGACACTTAGGTTGTTTCCATATCTTGGCTATTGTGAAAAATGCAATGAACACGGGAGTGCCGTTATCTTTATTGGGTGGTGATTTCATCTCCTTTAGGTATATATTCAGAAGAGGGATTGCTGAGTCATAGGGCAGTTCAATTTTTAATTTCTTTAGGAACCTCCATACTGTTTTTATTATGACTGCACCACTTTAATTTCCATCAACAGTGCACTAGAGTTCCCTTTTCTCCACACCCTCACCAACATTTGTTATCTCTAGGCGTTTTTTTATTGTTGTTGTTTTGTTTTTTATTTCAGTATATTATGGGGGTACGGATGTTTAGGTTATGTATGTTGCCCTTACCCCCCTCCCCCCAAGTCAGAGCTTCAAGCATGTCCATCCCCCAGACGGTGCGCACTGCACCCATTAGGTGTGCATATACCCATCCCTTCCTCCCCCCTCCCACCTGCCTGATAAATGTTATTTCTATATGTGCACTTAGGTGTTGATCAGTGGAACCAATTTGCTGGTGAATACATTGTTTGCTTTGCTTTGCTATGTGGTGCTTATTTTTCCATCCTTGGGCTACTTCACTTAGTGGATTGGGTTCCAGCTCTATCCAGGAGAATACAAGAGGTGCTATATCACCATTATTTCTCATAGCCGAATAGTACTCCATGGTTGGTATACATATGCCACATTTTATTAATCCACTCATTTATTGATGGGCACTTGAGTTGTTTCCACATCTTTGCAATTTGTGAATTATGCTGCTATGAACATTCGAGTGCAGGTGTCTTTTTTATAGAGTGACTTTTGTTCTTTTGGGAAGATGCCCAGTAATGGGATTGCTGCCTATCCTGTAGAAATTATTCTGCAACATCGAGAAGGATGGATTCCTCCCCAACACATTTTATGAGGCCAACATAAACCTGATACCAAAACCAGAAAGGATGCAACAAATAAAGAAAACTACAGACTAATATCCCTTATGAATATAGATGCAAAAATTCTCAACAAAATCCTGGCAAACCGAATCCAGGTGCTTATCAAGAAAATAATCCATCACAACCAAGTGAGCTTCATCCCAGAGATGCAGGGATGGTTCAACATATGCAAATCTCTAGGCATTTTGATTGTAGCTATCCTAATAGGTATGAGGCAGTATCTCATAGTGGTTTTAATTTGCATTTCCCTGATGATTAGTGATGTTGAACACATTTTCACATACCTATTGGCCATTTTTATGCATTTTTTAGAGAAAAGTCTGCTTAAGTCCTTCCTCTATTTTTAATTGGGTTATTTTTTTTTCTGCTATTGACTTGTAAGAGTTTTATTTATAAGTTTTTTTTTTTTTCAGACAGAGTTTTGCTCTGTTGCCCTGGGTGGAGTGCAGCGTCGTCACTGTAGCTCACTGCAAATTCAAACTCCTGGGCTTAAGCAATCCTCTTGCCTCAGCCTCCAGAGTAGCTGGGACTGTAGGCGCTTGCCAGGATGCCTGGCTAATTTTTCTATTTTTAGTAGAGACAGGATCTCACTCGTGCTCAGGCTGGTCTTTAACTCCTGAGCTCAAACAATACTCCCACCCCACCCATAAATTTTGGATATTAACCTCTACTGGATATGTGACTTGCAAATATTTTTTCCCAGTACATAGATTGTCTTCTCATTTTGTTCATTGTTTCCTTTGCTATGCAGAATTTTTTTAGTTT